GCTAATAACAGTTTCATAGTTCAGTTTCATGTGTTTGTTTTGAAGTTTTGAAGAGACACAGGTTCAGAGTTCACAAATTTCTTACAACATGTAGCATTCCCCAGTGGCATTTGCTGCTTATAAACTACAGAGAATACTGGTAATAAATCCCACTAAGCATAGGTAGTGGAGAGGATCAAAATTCAGACATATGATAAACTACAGAGATTCTGCAATTTCTGAAGAGTAGTTAAATATTACTCCCTCTGTCCCATAATGTAAGGTGTTTTTTGACACTAGTGTAGTGTCAGTGTGGTGTCAAAAAAGGTCTTACATTATGGGACGGAGGGAGTAGTTGCTATGATAATGTTTTCATAACTATGAAGAGTGTGTTATATGCTGCTTAGAGATTGTATAGCTGGAGTGGCCTAACAATTCTAGAAGACACTATGCACTGGTTTTGTGTGTCATAAATTCATAATCTGTAGTATCAGTCTTCTTAGTGCAAAAATGGAGACTACATTTCCATGGTACTCACATGCTATTACTATTCTTGCATTAAAATGTACTACACAAAACCAAGGCTAATTTGTTTGACTTCCAAGTCCTTACTTTTCCATGACAACTCTGCTTGGCCACAGTTCATGTTATTTGCCAAAGCAAGTTTAAAACTGAAGTGTTCTCATCGAAATCTTCTCCAATGCATGCAGGACTTTCGTGTAGGAGAAAGCGAGATGTTCATAGTCCACGGTTGTCGTCTGAGTTTGTATATTCCCTATGGTAGCAAAAATAACGTCAATTATTAAGGCAGCCACCGGTTCAAACAGTGAGCATCAGGTACTCTGTTTTCAGCACTCTATAGTTTAAACTCGCTGTGTTTAGTCTAGCAGATCCTTTTTCTGTGGAATCAAGTCTACCAGATTTAGTATTGACCTTTTCTTCTATCTTTGTATACATGACGGTAGTCATCAAGGAAATTTTACACAATTGTACAACCGACAGAGCAAAGGATGCCATAATACTGATTTTATCATTTCCACCATGATTTTCTCTCTTAATCAACCATGCTTTCCTGCACATCACATAAAATTAAGTGTACTTAGGATTGATTTAGTGCAGTTGCAATAGTTCTGCACCTGGGATATCATGCGGTAGCCAGCTCTATTTTTCTTTATTTTCTATGCAATTGATGATTCAGCTTAGTTCGTCGTTAGGGCACTATAATCAATGTTTAGTAATAAATTTTAGTGATTGTCCCATGTAAAGTTGATTTTCTGGCTGCAGGTTTATTGTCTGTCTTGGGTGTTCATTGTAGCAATAGTGTGAGTACTGGACAGCCTTCTGCCACCATCGTTTACCTCCGACTCGCCAGCCAGTCGCCATCGTCTACCTCGTGCCTCGCCGGACAGCGCAGTCGTCAAACTCTGTCTCACCGGGCAGGCACTGTCGTCTACCTCTGCTTTGTAGTTAATTGTGTGCTAGCAATTCCTCCGGAAAACTTGTTAGGTTATTCTAACTCTGCCATGTATCCATGATCTTGTTTTCTGAACATGTAATTTTTTTAGTGGTTTCATTTTCATTTTATTTATCATAGCACTCCCATGATTTATTTCATTTTCTAGTGTATATTTTTAAATTTTATTTTCCCTAATGGCCATGGTGTGAGAGAAGACTACTAGCGGGCTTGGGGATGTTCACTGCTTTGGGCGTTGCACTGAAGAAGTTTTGCCAAAAAGAAATAAAACTAGAAGCAAAATTCAAATTCATGAGCATTTTCGTAAAAAAAATTGTTAAAAAATAAGTTTCCATAAAAACTCTCAAAAATTCACGATACCCTATATTCAATCTGGGAAAGTTTCTAGAAGTTTTGATGAATAGAAAAAAAATAGAAGCAAAATTCAAATTCAGGACCATTTTGGCTCAATATTTACCCCAAAAACAAGATTTCAGAAAGAAAAAAAATCCACACTATTCTTAGCTCAGTCAATCTGGGAAAGTTTCAAGAAGTTCTTCCAAACAGAAAAAAATAGAAGGAAAAAAAATTCAGGAAGAAAAAACTCAAAATTTGGCATGAAAAAATCTCAAAAAATCCACACTACCCTTATATTTAGTCTAGGAAGATTTCAAGAAGCTTTCTCGGACAGGAAAAAAACTAAAAGCAAAATTCAAGTTCAGGAGCATTTTTGGCTCAAAAATTGGGTAGAATATTTTTTCTGAGAAAAATATCCAAAAATAAAAGTTCCTAGAAAAATTCCATGAGTACCAATTTTGGAGATGTTAGTTAAACTTCACTATAGAACTTGGCTTTGTAACAATCAGTTTGATGCAAATAGAACCAATACTGTAGATCAGGTTCGGGTGCATGTTAACTCTACATGGTAGCTCTATGCTGGTTATGGGTCTGAATGGGCCGTAGCGGTACTTGTAGACCAAGATGACCCGTAGTGGTAGTTATGGGTTGGAATGACCCGTGGTGGTAGTTGTGTGTCGGGACTATGATTCAAGGTAGTTGAGTGTCCGGATGACCTGTTATGGTACTTGTGGATCCACACGTCCCAAAGTTGTAGTTGTGGGTCCGTATGACCCCTAATGATAGTTCTATGTTGGTAGTATCTGTAAGGGTAGTTGAGAGACTGTACGACTCATAGTTCTAGTACTGGTGCTGACAACCCATAGTGCTAGTCGTGGATTCGGATTACTCATATTAGTAGTTGTGCGTTTGAACGACCCATAGTGCTAGTAGTAGAATTGACAAAGTATGGATCATTGTGCTAGTCGTGGTCTGGATGACCCGTAGCGGTATTTGTTAGTTCGGATGACCCATACTGCTAGTCGTGGTCCGGACAACCCATCGTGGTGCTTGTGGACCCGGATAACCGATAGTGCTAAGTTCTGGGTTCGGATGGCCCGTAGTGCTAGTTGGGGATCAGATGACTCATAGTGTTAGTTGTGAGTCCAGATGGCCAATGGTGCTAGTTGTGGGTTTTGACGACCCATGGTATTATTAGTGTGATCACCGCAAGTACCGGTTTTACACATCCGGGCCCATTACTACCGATCTTAGTCGTCCAGACCCACAAGTATCGATCTTAGTCGTCTGGACCCACAAGTGTCGGTCCAGCTCACTACAATCGATCTTACTTGTCTGGACTTAAGTACCGGTCTTACTCGTTCGGGCTCATTTCTATCGATCCTAGTCATTGAGACCCACAAGTATCGATCTTAGTCATTCGGACCCACAAGTATCGATTCCAGTCATCCGGACCCACAATACCGGTTTTACTCATTTCGGCTCACTACTATGGATCTTACTCGTTCGGGCACACTACTTTTGATCTTAATCATCTAAAACCACAAGTATTGGTCTTAGTCGGCGGGTCCACAAGTATCGGTCTTACTCATTTGGGCTTACTACTATCGGTCCTACTCGTTCGGGCTCACTACTTCAATCTCAGTCATTCAAGATGAGAAGTACCGATCTTAGTTATTTAGGTCCACAAGTATCGATCTTAATTGTCCGTACCCACAAGTACCAATCTTAGTCGGCCCAACTCGCAAGTACCAATCTTAGTCGTTTTCATCCACAAGCATCGATCTTACTCATTTAGGCTCATTACTATCGATCTTAATCATCCGGAACCACAAGTACCAATCTTTGTTGTCCGTGCCAAGTACCATTCTTACTCATACAGGTCCACAAATACTGATCTTGGTCATCCAAGCCCACTACTATCAATCTTAGTCGTATTGACCCACAAGTACCGATCTCAGTTGTCCAGAACCTTAAGTATCGATCTTGCTCATACTGACCCGCAAGTGCCGATCTCAGTTGTCCAGAACCATAAGTATCGGTCTGGCTCGTTCCGACCCTCATTGAAAAAATTATACTTTCTATTTTTAAGAAAATATTTCACGCGTTTACACCAAAAATACCTTTTCCCCTTCACTAAAAAAAATATAATCCCGTCACTTTTTCCAAATTTTCAGCCCTTGGCAGCCGGGCACCTACATCAATCACCAAAAAGAAACTCCAGCCCCCACGATCTTATCCCCCACGTAGCGATCACTCCACCCCGCACATTCTCCTGCTCCTATCCCCTCCCCCATTATCGCCCCACCAAATCGGAGCTCCTCCTCCAGTCTGGTTGAACGCAGCCCCCTTCTCATCTGCGGGATCCCGGCCGCCGCCTCACCCACGACCCTCTCCTCCACTGCCAAGTCTGCGCGGACGCCGCCTCCCTCCTCACTGGCGGGATCGGAGCCGCCGGCCACCGCCCACCTCGCCTGAAGGATCCGATGCCACTGCTCTTCTATGCCGATCCATCACCGGCCACCGGTGGTGCATCACCTGCTTCCCCTGACTGAAGAATCCTTGCGGCGTTTCGAAGAAGCTGTGGGTGGAAATTTCGGAACCGCTGCGCCGACGGTGGTGTGATGCCGGCGATGGGTCCGCTGGCAATTCGATATGCGAGTATGTCTATGTCGCTGCCAACTCTGGAGGTGTGTTCACAGGATGATTCATACCATGCTTGAAAATGCACAATCTTGCCTTCTAAATCTGGATCAAAGAGGAAATGTGGCTACTGCGGGGGTGGAAGGTCACGATCATGTCATCAGTTAGATCAAAGGCAATATTAAGCACAACCCTGTCATCTACAAAAATTACTCAGCACACTCTCACAATCCCTGCTGAAACTTTTTGAAATCTTTAGGTTGTGATAACTTTTTAGGAGTCGGTAGTACTAGCGTTTCAGAGACTAACAGGAGAAGCAAATTAATAATTGTGCGTGCCACCGGAATTAGCAGTGCTAGTGTATGTAGAAGTAAAACTAAGTTGTAACTTGATTCTGTGTTAGTTGAAAGCATAGAAATAGCGAATCTCTAGAACATTGTTTGAAAAGGCTAGTAATTGATGGCTTGTGAACGGGAGGAGATTACCACACACAGCCTCAAATGATGTTTCTATTTACTACAGGATTCATTCATGTTATGTGTGCGTTTTCATTCAATTATTGTCTCCCATGTTAAAGGTCCTTGGTCACTTCTGCAGGTGTGACCATGAGTTCTGCTACTCCTGCCACGTGAGTACAACAACTGCGAACAAGCATGCTAGTGCGTCTTCTGGGACGAAGACAGTGCCGAGCTCTCGACAGCGCAGTCCTGCCAAGCCTTCGAGATCTGGGTATGGGACACCTTCGACTGCATGCCCCACCGACGGCTACTCAGAGAAGGAGCGGGTGCAGGTGTCACTCATCCAGCGGTTCCTCGCAGGGGGGTTTAGCCTGAGCGGCGAACATCACAACCTGACCCAGCAGTCGTTGCCGTCATGCTGCGCGGTGGACTCGTACATCGTTGACACCATGAAGGATCTCCATCAGCTGCAACGACGACTACATACAGTGAATGATGAGGATGTTAAAGAATATCGAGTCATAGATATAGCATTAGAAAGGAGATACGGATGGCGCATATACTGATGATTTTCAGATCGGAATAACGTGTTCTCCCCATGACATAACCCTGTCGAAAATTGATTTGACATCAGAAAAGAATTGATATTATCGCCCTTTGTTTCATTGATCGTCTGTTTGGCTTACCCTCCATTATTCAATTCCTTTTTGGTATCATCTGCATCAGCAAAGCTTGTTTGCCTAACTTCTTTTCCCCTTTCTGCTGGACAACATCATCAATTATTAATTGCATGTGTGTTTGGCCGCTGAATTAGAAAAACTGTTCTCCTAATGCTTGATTATTAAGCCTAATGCTTCATGATAATCTCTTTTCAGCCCAAGTAATTATAACTGGAGGTCCAAGTGGGCTTATTTTCTAATTTGAACAAATAGCCATAAAAATAGACAAAAGTGGATCAAACAGAACTAAAATGGGATTACGAGGATCCTCGACAATGACATACAACCGCAAAGGTGATGAGAAACCAACATGATATTCGATAACCACTTGACAGTAATATTGCTAACCACTTGACAGTAATATTGCGATATGGAAAATTAAGAGCAAAATCTCAGTTGCACATATATTTCCTCATGTTTACGCACAGCGCCAGATGACATCAAGTTTCAGCATCTTAAACTCAATCCTATAACATTTTGAGCTTTTCACCGGTCAACATACATGTTTAGAAGACAAGGACACATAGCATAACCAATCAGGACAGTTAATTGATGCACTTCTAGACTAAGAAACAACCATTTAGAAATTTCACGCATCGAACAGAAGAGACACTACTACTAACAAGACTCATGATGATTGCCCTAGCTCCACATCGTCATATCCTGCAAAAGGCGTTCGAGCAAGCAGGTAGTACTTCTCAAACTCCTTGAGGTTTAGAGAAGAAACGGTTGCTGCCGTCACCATCCCCTCCGTCACCGCCGCCTCCTTTGCCGAAATGGAACCCACCGCTTCCATCGTCCAGTTTAGGCCCTTGAACTTTCCCTGAAGCTGTAAACAATATAAAACAAGCAAAATTAAGTGGACTGCCCACTCTGATGAACTAGGTTAAATTCGCAGTGTGAGAACATGCAAGAAAAACCACCTTTGGGATCAGATTGTTTGACAGTTGTGGCTGAAGATTTGCACTGGAGACTTTGAGTTTGAGCAGCATTGCATCTTACACTCTGAAGCGAATAGAGTTGTCACGAGAAAGAGGGTCAAACAAATGATCTGATGTGAAGGTAGCCATAAGCAATTTAATATCACGGTGTAAGATGGCCATAGCTGCTCAAACCCGGGCATATATTGTACTCCCTCTGTCCCATAATATGCACTAGTGTAAAAAACGCTCTTATATTATGGGACGGAGTAGTTCTCTGCACATTACAGAATCATCACATTAATTTACGCATATACCCAGCTTCTGTGGACATAAATGGCAAGGAAACAGTAGAGAAAATCAATACCCAACCTATCATGCTCCTGACACATGTGGAACAATTATCAGAAACTGGCCCATGAAGGGGAACAAGCAATCCTGAACTCAATATTACATACCATAGAAGGCATGAACAAGTATTCTGTTAGTGCCTCAATATTACATATGTTAATTGATCTCCCTCCAGTACTACTCCTCTCATTGTACATTTAAGGGAAATAAAATAGGTGTTGTTGATTAACACTACTTGTGCAACGTCCTGAAGGGTTTGACTGACCAGAGAGGAGTTTGAGAATGGTCCAAAAAGACGACATCCAGCAGACCATAGCCAGCTCACAATTGGTCTTTCATGAATACGTGAACACGGTCCGGGCCGGTCCGGTCCCTGACCGAGCCACCATTTGGACCGGCCGCCGGCGGACCGGACCGGACCGGACCGAGCAGCGTGGCGGTCCTCTTTTCCTGGACCGGACCGGCGGCGGTAAAGCTCGGGCCAGACCGAGAGGACCGACGGTGGCGGCGAGGTCGTGACCACGGCAGCCGCGAGAGACGTCTCCTGCGAGCTCCTGGACTCGGTCGAGAATGACGACGGTTCAGCAGCAACTGGACGCGGTGGCGCTGGCGGGCCGCGAGTTTTACATGCGCACGTTTGTTGTTTAGCAATTTTTTCGCTACATGCAAGCAATTTAACGTGTGCATGAGCCAACGATTTTGTACGTATTGGCCTTGCCGTGATTAGAGGATCAAGTTTTACGTGGGGTTAGTCGTGGGATGACGCCGTAATTGACTGATCAATCCTCGTTTATCTGGTCAACGAAAAGAAGGAAAGAAAGAAACGGCCCACGATTTTTTGTGTGCGGTTGGGGTAGCCACGATCACCACCGCGAGCAACTACTGTTGTTGTGGGCTTCTTCATCAGGGTCTGTCCGCTCCAGAAAATATTGACGAAACTGAAAATACTGAAGATTCTGGCGAAACTGAACCGTGATTGCACACGTACAGATTTGGTAAGCCTCTAACGTAGGAATAGGTGTTTCCTTTTGTTTTCTGTTCGATTGAATAAAAGGAAACAACATTATGGAATAAATTGAAACGGTAGCGTGGAGTTAGTCGTGCGTGATTATCGGATCTAATCCCGTTTCTCTTTTCTGTTCGACTGAATAATAGGAAAGAAACTTCAGGGCAGCAGCGCGTGACCAGTCTTCTACCTCTTGCCCCTATCTCTTCGTCAATTGACTGAACTACACTTGATTCTGGTCAACAACGACGGGCGGGGCATGGCCAGTGCGTCGCCGGCGGCTGAGACGTCGAGGAACTATCTGCAGTTTCGGTCCGCTCGGTCGGACCGGTTAAAGACTGGACCGGACCGAGTAAATTTCGGGCTGAAATTTAGGGACCGGACCGGCCAGTTTCTTCAACGGGCTAGGACCGATCGGTCCGGTCTGGAACGGGCCACAAGCGGGCCGAAAAGCCCGCTCGCTCCGTCCAGCCTGGTACGTGATGCATGTTCATAGGATGCACTCAGACCTCCAACTGCGAAAGCCAAACCAGATGGATATGCAAACTGCAATGTTTCAGTAACTGCTTTCATACTCTTTAGCCTAAGATTTAACAAAATTGTTGCTAGGTGATGTCACAGAGTTCATACCTTCATAGATTTTCAACCATCTGTTCACAGAGTTCATCATCTGTTCCATCAACAACTCTGCTCCTCCGCAAGGTCGTGGCTGGACTCCACTGCCTGCTGGCCTTCATTGACTGCCGCTCGACTCCATCGGCCATGGTTGTCCCTGCCCGGCGCGCCTCCCGTGGCGTTCCTCGGATCTAGTGCCGCCGCCGGCCGCCTGCGCTGCCGGCCCCGCCCGCTTAGCACCGCCGCTCCTGGCTCCCGTGGCTCGCTGCGGCTCCCGCAACGTGGGATACGGACCGACTGCACCGTGGAGGAGGGGGTGCACCAGGGGAGGCTAGATATGGTGGGCTTCCCGGCAGCGGCGCGTGATTCCAGTGGCGTGGGTAAGAGGCTAACGACATTTGGGCGATTGAGAGATTTGACGGGAACACCACGAGATTGAGGAGAGACGGTCATGGGGAATTTTCCAAATATTTGACATATCTACCCTTGAAAAATTTACTGGATCCACCTAAATTTTGTAATGGTCCCACCATTAATTGTAATTTTGTGTAATTTAGGTCTTGTAACTCCTCGTAACTCCTATTTTTCCACCGTTAGATTCGAGTGGATGGACGGCTTCTAAATTCGCCAATCACTGTAACAGTTGTAAATAGAGAAATGAAATGCAGCTATCATTAATTTCCCCACCAACCACAATGCAACTACAGTTGTCCATCTATATGAACCACACTAAAACATCATGGATCCACAACAAACCAAGGAGTAGCAGATTCTAAACCCTTAATTATAATGGATACTTTTCATATTGTACATCTCAACCAGGTAATAGTCCATTCTTATTGCATATTAATGCTCGGTTTAAATCAGTGTGTGACTGCCATATGACCCTAAAATATTGCTCTGAGAAATACCATGATATAAATCTAACCATAAACATGAATATACTGACAATATTATTACCTTGTCAACCTAAAACTCTTCAATCTACAATATGGCTTCTGTGCTAGAATTTACTTCTGTACATAATGGGGTCATGTCAAACATTCAGTGATAAAATATTATTTACCAGGTTTTGAGTATCACAATGGGCACCTGAGCCACGACGGCGAGGCAACCATGGCGACGGCGGCGTCCAGATCAAATCCAAAATTGGAAGGGAGAAGGGGGTGAAGTGAGCACATGGTCGGACTGGCCGCCGTCTTTCGGCCACGCTCCTCCTCCTGCATACAATGAGCATAAAAGACCACATCCTAAAATATATATTTTTAGTCCAACGGCAACATGCTACGATCAACTGTAGAATTTTTGTGGCACTTGTAGGAAGATATTAAAATAGTATGTTTGACCATCAATGAACTAACAAAACAGTGGTAACTTATATGTTCTGTAAAATTAACTCCGCTGTCAAATTCACAGATACATGACTATCCTCCAAAAAAATATGACCCCGATATTATTAACTAAACTATGGTTCAAATCTCTAGTCCTCAAAAAAATTAGTATCAATTATCTGGAATTAAGGAATCAAATGGTAAAGCGGTAACAGGATAGGTGATATTGAGGAGGTTGATGGTGAGTTAGGTTTAGCAGGTGACCTTGATGGTGTTAGGTGACAGGCTGAACAACATCCTTGTTCGGCTCCATGGTAGCCTAGGCATAATGGCATCGCCTTCCTCATGCGCGGAGGCGAGCTATAAATTGGTAAGTCAACCAACTGTCTCAATCCTTAAAATACCAAAAAGAGTTTGATTTCTAAATATACTTCATTCATGACACATTGCTAACCATTTGTACAACATCCTACAGACATAGTTATGCTAATCCACCATCCAAGATTACGCCACAACGCAAAACAAATTACCTTTATTTTAGGATCCAACAGCTCTGGAGGACAGCACCTCTCCCCTTGAGATCCACCCCCCTGCAAGTGCAAAAAACAACTCATTGCCACAAGA